TCAAAGTACACAAACACGGAGCTAAGAGTACTGTGCTAGGCCGGCCTGCCAACGGAGGGTACCAAAAACTTCAGAAAACGAAAACTGGATTTTCCTAGCAGGCATCATCGGGAGAATGAACCTCCTGAGGCCAGCGGCTGACCCGCCTCGCTGTGGCCAGACACCCGAAGCATCCGCGCTTTCCCGCTGGATCCACAGGTCCGTCTTCCCTAACTCTTCTTGGCTGCCATTAGATTGGGAGAAACATTAAACATGGAGCTGGGTTTTAAAAACGATAACAGCATCTAACAGTTTTATCACGGTAAGACATAAATCCACTGGGTTGTCGCCATTTTAAAGAAGAGGAAACTGAGGCTCAGGAAGTTACAGTCACACAGCCAGTAGGTGGCGAAGCTAGAGCGCGAGTCTTCACTAAACCCAAGGCCAGTGTTTTTTCTTTTTCCCCTAAGAAATAATTCCCTCCGGCTCGGCGTACTCGCCTCGACCCACCACCCTCGAGAGGTCGCAGAATTTCCGGAAATGCAAACAGCCTCCGCGAACAAATCCAAACAGGGCGGGGCACACCTCTGTGCCCGGGGCTAGTGGGCGGGTCGGAAACGTTGCGGGTGGGATGCCTTTCTGGTCCCGCAAAGGAAGCTGGAGGCCCCAGATTACGAGGATGCTGTGAGTGCAAGATGGGCAGCGCTAAGGCACCAATGCATGTGGGCATAACAAGTCCTGAGGTCTTAAACTGCTCAGGCCCTCTACGATCACAACCGTAAACCTCAGGCCCTTTAGAGCACGAGGCCTTTGAAGGCGCACTTTTGACTGCTGAAAGAAAATGAAGTGCAAATAGAGGAAATGATGCCTCCAGGGTCATCCAGCTGGTGGTCTGGAGAGCTGTGCCAGGAAGCCACGTGTCCCGCTCCGGGGCCAGTTTTTTCCACTTCAAGGTCACTTTAGGTGGTGTTATTGGAGAAAGTGTGTGCGGAGAAGTTAGGGGAAAGTCAGGCTGGAGTTAGGGTGGGCTGACCATGATGGCGTCTATGAATACCCCAAACATAACTAACTCAGGCGATTTTCACTTGTCGGATGTCAGTGAGTAAAGCGAAGTCCATGAAAATGGAAGTGCACTCTGGACCTTTGCCTGGATCCTAATCCTGCGCGTTGCTCTAGGCGGGTCTGCACCCTCCTCTCTTCGCAGTACGCCTAGAAGTGCACAGAAACTTTGAAAAGACCCATCCTAGATCCAGGCTAAGGGAGTCTGTGGAAGCAACATCCCCCAGCCCCCCCCCCAAAAAAAACCAGGGCCGTGCAAAAGAGAAAATGAGTAAGTATTCGTTCCTAAACTTCCACATCTTTTTCTGCAGTTTTAAAAACTCCCTTCCATAGATCCAATTCGCCGCAATAAAGCCTAGCATGGAACCCCTGGTCCTAGCAAACTACTGCCTAGCCAACAAACTGCTAAGGGGTAAATCAAATGGGCCTGAGGTAATTACCCTAAGCCTGGGGCAATAACTTGCCTGCCCGCCAATATTGGTTTGTGTAATAGTTTGGGAAGGGGGGGGCGGTGTTATTCGTGGAAACTTCTACCAACGGATTGGTGCTGGGGTGGTTGCAGGACCTGTTTTTCTTGAAACGGGTCTGCAGCCAGCTGGGGCATGTGAGTTCCGGACCCCGCTCCGGCTGCTGCAGCGCACCTGCAAAACTTCCTTGAATTAAATCTATCTGGGGAAAAACAGGGGAAAAGAGCGACCTTGCCCCGTCACGACGCAGCGTTTGGCATTGCCCCAGTAGTCTCGGTGGCGGCGGCCAGCCGCCCCAATCAGCACATGCTCCAGCTCTGCTCTCTAGGCTGCCAGGGCCAGCTAAAGGCCCCTAGTGGGACGCATTCTCTTTCCTTGCCAAATACACACAGAACACCGAGTCTGGGGCCCCGGGCGCTCTGCTCCGCCTTCCTGGTAGTGTCTAGGAGATTCAAGTTGCACAGAGCTGGCCTCTTAACGCGATTGGCTCGCCAAGGCTGAAGGCGCTGACCACACGCCTGGCGTCCCTGGCTACCAAGGGACGGTAAGAAGCTTACCCACTGAGCGTCGGCCTCACAGCCTCATGGTTTTGCCCTGCGCGTCCTGAAAGGGGCTTTCCCTTCATTCGGTCCCCAGACGCTTGACAGCCGCTTGCAGGTGAGGGGAAACGTCCCTGGTGGATCCCAGAAAGGAGGCGCTGCGGGCCCAAGAACCAGCGGAAGAGATGCCCTAGCGGAGCATCAACAAAAAAGTCATTTGACAGTAGAGCCTTTTCACGCCAAGTGCGCGGGGGCTGCCGGAAGCTGCATCACAACGGCCTCCTGGGCTGGGACCAGACTTTCACTGCCTGCGCCTAGAGAGAAGAAGCAAATCGCCTCCAGGCTCTGGCTGTCACTATGACCGGGTGCGCTCTTGGAATTCCTCGGTGGCTCTGCGAGGCCAGGAGACAGCCCGTTTCTCAGTGCTCTGCTCTGTAAACTGTCTCAAATAATGAAAAATCTAGCAGAAATTCCTTTTGGCTGGAGGAAGTTCCTGACAGTGAAAGCAAACTTATTAGACCAGATGCTGAGGCTGGTTTCTCCCCCGATCTTACACCTTAACATCCATCCTGAGTCTGCTGGCCCAAGACAAACTGGTCAGACAGTCTGAGTCAGAAGTCTTGCTAGTGGTTAAAATGGAGATTATGAATTTGCCCTGCTCACCTCTCAGCGACCCTGCTAAAAGACTGAATGGACATACACTCCCATTTGAAGCCCACTGAAAGCCAGAGGCTGGGAACTGTATACCTGGTAGCCAAGATCAAAAGTTAGAGCCAGGCTTCCCTCTGGACCAAAGGCCATCTGCCTTGAGTTTAAGTTTGAGAAAACAGAATTTCAAATATGAGTGAGCCATCCTCTTTAACAGCTTTTTGCAAGTGAGAGAACTGGAATGAACCCGTAAATCTTGCGGCTTCAGGCAGCTCATTTTACAAAACACTAAAACTGAGGCCCAGAGATTGGAAAAGTGCTTGTTTCTAAACTGCTTTCCCTACCAACCAACCTACCAAACATGATCCCACCAAACATGGCCCAACCAGATCAGGTCCTCAAGCTCTTTAAGCAGGCATTGGCATCCCTGGTGAATGTGTGGAAGACTGCCAACTAGCAACCTGGGAGCCAGGGCTCTTAACCAGCCACTGTCTCCTTACAGCAGCGCTTGGTTGATATCTTGGCTTCCTGTCATCTTAATGATTCCCCTCCACTTCTAAGAAGTATAGCAAGGACTTCACTCTGTACCCCTAGGTGATGGGACCACTCAGCTCCCAGTTCCCCTACTTTACCCCGGCTCTAATATCACACTCCCAAAGAAATATCATTCTCCATCCACCAGTTTCAAGAAGATATGTTGGAGCTTCTTGGCCCACCAAGCCCATATGTCACCTAATTCCCTGCCTATTGTCTGTCCAGCTCCCTAAAGGGAGGTTCTGTAGTGCAGAGGGCAGTCTCCAGGCTCTCTGTAACTTCACGTGGATCACCGCCCCCCTCCCGCCTCCCGAATATGAGGGTGATACCTAATAAATTGTGAGCAAATTGGCATTTGAGGAAAATGCCCGGAGCCCTTCTCTCTATTAGGTTTCACCTACGACCCTCCGACGTCTGTTTCTGGGAGAGAAGAGGTGCTAAGACAACGCTACTCCGAACTTGAGAACTTGTGTTGTCACCAGAGGCTGGTGCAGAGGGAAGCTAGGAGAGGGTAACTGAAAGACTGGAGGGCAAAAGGGAGGAAAATGGGCGAGGGAGGACCAGTCGACCCAGCCGAGTCCGCGCCCCCTGCTGCAAGTCTTGGTCCTGGTGCTACACAACTGCGGGGACCACACTTAGCCGGTGCCCCCTCCCAGTGGTCAAACTCCCAGCTGCGGTCAGAGCTGAGAGCCGGTGGGGAAAGCGAGGGGTCCGGGTGCCAGAGTTGAAATGGAGGAGGGGCAGAAGCGAGGCTCTAGGGCTTCTTTGCCGGTTCTTCGGCAAAAGATTAGGCGGTGTCGGCGCCGGCATCCCTCAGCCTCGGTCATGTGATAGTCTCGAAGCGCAAGCTGCAGGGGTCTCGGCGTCTCCGGGACCATTACAAAACGCAGTCAGGAGAGCGCGTCCGTGCCACAGCAGCCGCCCCTCCTCGCCTAGACCCGCGGGGCAGACGGCTGCAGCTGCAGCGCACTCCGCGGTGAGGACCAGGGAGCCGGGCCTGGCCTGTCCTCGCAGACACCCCCTGTAGCCCGCCGCTAGCCCCAGGAGTCCTGCGCACCCTCCCTCTACAGAGCCTGCAGGCGCCGCTGCTGCAGAATCCACCAAACTTTTTCCCTCTGAGCTCCGTACCTCTTCAGTCCTCCGCTCAGCTGCGAATCTCCCAAGCCAGAGGGCACAGGCTGATGAAACGGGAGCCTTTACCCCTTTACCCGACTCTCGGCTCGTGGAAGACCAGAACTCCAGCGCAGACGGACTAAGTGCCAGGTCAGGGGACAGCGTCTTGGAAAATCCAGTCACCACTGACCTTCGGGACAGCCGGAGCATACTCAGATTTGAAGAACCAGCGTCTCCACTACCCGGTACTTCCCAGTGGGCTTGACCTGGGCTGCTCTTGTGCAGAGAAAGGATAAAGGGACCGGAAAAAATTCACTCTGCCACCTCCTGCTCCAGCCTTCTGTCCCAGAGTCCAAGTCTGGTCACCAGGGGAAAGACCCAGAGGAGACCACACCAAAGCTGGCGAGCCCTGCAGGCTACTGTGCAAGCCTGTCTGCAACCGTCGGGACCGAAAGTAGTGAGCATCAGTGAGCTGAGTTGGCCTGAAGGGCCAATTTTGGGGACCCCAGGCAGCCCCCAGAAGGAGGGGGGCGAGAGGACAGGGCAGCCGGGCTGGACCGGCGGAGAGAGAGTTAGCGGGGGCACTTAGGTCCCGGGAGCCGGGTGCGGAGGGACGCTGAGGCCCACCTTGGGCCAGAAGGCGGCGGAGGAGCCTGAGACTATGCCGCGGCCGGGAAAGAGCTCGTACAGCGACCAAAAGCCGCCCTACTCGTATATCTCGCTGACCGCCATGGCCATCCAGCACTCTGCGGATAAGATGCTGCCCCTGAGCGACATCTACAAGTTCATCATGGAGCGCTTCCCCTACTACAGAGAGCACACACAGCGCTGGCAGAACAGCCTGCGCCACAACCTCTCCTTCAACGACTGCTTCATCAAGATCCCGCGGCGGCCGGACCAACCTGGGAAGGGGAGTTTCTGGGCTCTGCACCCGGACTGCGGAGACATGTTCGAGAACGGCAGCTTCCTGCGGCGCCGCAAGCGCTTCAAGGTGCTGCGCTCGGACCACGCGCACCTGCACGCGGGAAGCAGCAAGGGAGCGCCGGGCACCGGGCCCGCGGGTCACCTGCATCCTCACCATCCGCACCACCCGCACCACCACCATCACCACCACCACGCTGCGGCTCACCACCATCACCACCACCCACCCCAGCCGCCGCCTCAGCCGCCGCCACCGCACATGGTGCACTACTTCCACCAGCAGCCGCCCTCCGCCCCGCAGCCGCCGCACCTCGGGTCCCAGGCCCCTCAGCCGCCGCAGCAGTCCCAGCCGCAACAGCCGTCTCATCCCGGCAAGATGCAGGAGGCGGCGGCCGTGGCGGCGGCGGCAGCTGCGGCGGCGGCGGCGGCCGTGGGCAGCGTGGGGCGCCTGTCTCAGTTCCCACCCTACGGGCTGGGCTCCGCCGCCGCCGCCGCCGCAGCCGCCGCCTCTACCTCCAGCTTCAAACACCCCTTCGCCATCGAGAACATCATCGGCCGGGACTACAAGGGCGTGCTGCAGGCCGGCGGCTTGCCCTTGGCCTCTGTCATGCACCACCTGGGCTACCCGGTGCCAGGCCAGCTGGGAAACGTCGTCAGCTCGGTGTGGCCTCACGTTGGCGTCATGGATTCGGTGGCCGCGGCCGCCGCCGCAGCAGCAGCAGCTGGGGTCCCCGTAGGCCCGGAGTACGGGGCCTTCGGGGTGCCAGTCAAGGCCCTGTGCCACTCGGCAAGCCAGAGCCTGCCGGCCGTGCCCGTGCCCATCAAGCCCACGCCTGCGCTGCCGCCGGTGACCGCGCTGCCGCCCGCGCTCACTGTCCCCGCCGCGTCCCAGCAGCTGCCCGCTCCGTCCTCCGTGTGCTCTGCGGCCGCTGCCTCGCCCGCGACCCCTCTCCTGGAGCCCACGGCCCCCAGCGGTGACAGCAAGGGCGGCTCGCTGCACTCGGTGTTGGTGCACTCCTAGGCTACCCCGCGTCGGCGTCCGGAGAGAGTCTGAACTGACCCCAGGCCAGAGAGGGGCAGAGTTGGTTTTGCAGGAAAAGACGGTATTTAAAAACTGTCGGACAAACCCCAAAAGTGAATTCTCCACAGATCTGAATAAATGTAACCTCTTGGTGTCTGTGTTTATACTATCTTGTACAATCAGATTAATGAAAGCCCGGTTTCAGGTAAGAGTATCTATTGTAATTATAATCGATAAGTTATGGGGGGGCGCAAAAGCGATTAGGGAAAGCTCACTCCATCCAGGCAGGGTGGAAGTGCGGTCACCCTCGTTCCAGGAACAGAAGCACGCTGAGCCGACCCGGGAGAACAACCTAGATTGGCCGATTTCAGACCTCCCGCTGGTCTCCTCACTTGGCAGCCGCCTCCCGCTGATCTTCTGGACAAAACTGCCACCCACTAAGGAAAGCTCGTTTTAGTTGAGAAGGGAAAGGATGCGTTTTATCCCATTATTTTCTTGGTCAGGAAAACGGTCGTAGAAACGGAGTCACAAATAAAGTCGTTTTGACGGGGAGGGGGTGGGCGCTGGGAGCCGCATGAAAGATCTTTGGAAACCAGTTAAATTTCTTGGCTGTAACCCGGGGTCGAGAAGGACAGGAACAACGCTGAAGTAATTAGTTTGCACAAAGGGGAATGGAGACGGCTTAAAGAGCAAAGCGCCAGATTCCAAAAGTAAAGTTTGGGAAACAGCCAGAGAGACAATAAGGACCACTTTCCACCTGCAACTCGCTTGTGTGTCAATCGGGTGAGAAACCGTTACAGAGCCTAAGAACACAGTTAATTCCCACGGTCAGCTGCATGTGGATTTTTAAGGCAAACCAGTCACGTACATCACGGGATTCTCTTCCTCTCGTGGGTGCAAAAAACCCTTGTCACAGCCCAGAGTGCTGTCCGGTGGATTTCCCTTCCAGCTTCCTGGTAGAAGTGAAACAATCCTGCCACCTTCACACGCACTTGGTATTCCGTATGCTGTTTAAGCGCATCTTTTCAGGTGAATTATTCATGTTCAAATATGTGGATAAATTCACCTAGTCACTGTTATCCTTCCCCAGTTTTGAGCCCCCCACTTTACTGGCAGCAAACTGAGGAAGGGGTGCGCAGTAGGGAGGCGTCAGCCTTGCCCAGGGCTGCGAGTCACCTCTGGCATGTGTCCGCGCCACGTTCGCTTTGTGGCTTCGTTCCTGTCTGCTGGTGTTGTACGCAGTGTTCATTAAAATGTCTCTGGACTTACCGGTGCCCGCGTAAAGGTGTTTCTCTTAAGAAAAGAGGCCACAGCAGGTGCCCACTGGTGGGCGGGGGCCTTGAAAATCTTCCCTCCGCCCTTGATCAAGCTCTGGGCCTCAGAGGAGCGAGCTCAGGGGTGCCGCATCTCTGCGGACTGGACTCCTCTCCAGCTCCTTCCAAGAGTTATTTCCTCTACCCATTTTCATCACTCCACTTTTCTACTTGAACTTCATTAAGTTCACATCAACCTTAGAGACAGAATTAGCACCCCGAAACTGGATTTTACCCACCACCAACACCGGCAGCCTTTTCCGAGGCCCGCAAGGGCAGGGCAGGGCAGCGGCAGGGACTCTGTGCAGCAGGACCCCTGTGCGGCTGACATCCGCCTGGCCTCGGGTTGGCCTCGGTTGATCTATAGCAGCGCGGTGGAACCCGACGCTGAACATTAACTAGGTGTGCTGTATGCGTCGCGGCGTCCAGGGGGACCTGTTGCGCCCCAATGCAGGGATGCTAGTCTGCCAGGTGACCGCAGCCTGGTGACTACTGCTTGGGGCGTGGAGCCTAGCAGTGGTGGGGCCATGAGAGCCAACCAGCCGCAGATGTGCTGGCTGCCAGGTCCCCGCACAGGCAGGGAAGAGTAGATGAGCCTCCCTACCCCGCAAGCCCGCCGGGGCCGAGAACCCATTCAGGACTGGGCCTCCTCCCTCTACCCTCCAAGCAAAAGCTCTGCTTGGAGCCAGTTTCCCTCTGTGCACTCAAGCATAGATTCCTTGGACCTTTCTTCAGAAAGGCTGCGTGTTTGGGTTACATCCTAAAAACCAGGCGTTTGTATCCATCCCTTATTTAACAAACATTACCACCGTGTGCCACAAAGTTTTGACACGTCTTAGTAGGTCCAGATAATTGGACAGTTTGTCTTATTTTTCCATGAGGCTGCTAGGTTTCCCGCGTGTTTTCCTCTCTATTAACGTGAGGCTATAGAAAGAGAAAAGAAAGGGCCAGAGAGATACTGACTTGGGGGTCAGATTAGGGGAGACTGACTTCTGTGCTCACCTTCCAGCTCTTTGATGCCTGAAGCCTTGCCTGGACCCTAGTTTAGGGGCCTTGAGACACTTGATGGGAAGAAGGGGTCGCTGGCTTCTTGGAGTTTTTTTCAAAAGAGGATTGCCTTCAAAGAAGATTGCCTCTTCCTTCCTGTCAGCCTGCATGGTAAATGGTACTTCGTGTTTTTAGGGGGTCCATGAGCCTTTCTGGGACCATGTGTGCCTCAGAGCCCAAGTGGAAGGGGATGAGAAATGGACCTTTACCAGTTCCCAGGACCCTTCCAGCACTCAGCGCCTTCTAGGAACACTTCCCACCTCAGTGGAGCAAACAAAATTGTTATGCTTCATTTTGTTCTTAAGGTAGAGAGAGAAAGGAGGTTTGGGAAAGCAAAAGGAACTTATTCGGAAGGAACCCTGGTACCCCCAAGGAAGCTGTATTTAGCCTTTCTCTAAATAAGCAAAGGGAGAGGGGCATCTGCCAGAGTTCTGATCCCAAAGGAAGGGCCCAGTTACAGCAGTCCTCTGCCTCAAGAACCCCCAACTCAGACAGGATCTGCCATGGACCCATAACTGCACTGCAACGGACTATAAACCCATGAGCAGAACTGTCCACTTTGCCAAGCCTGGCAGAACAATTCTGACATACCTTTGGGATGCTAAGACTAGGATAATCCCAACCCCAAACTCCCAGCTTCTCACCAGGATCTAATTATTAGATTCATGTGCCAAAAACACACCCACTTAAAGCCTCTGAGGTTATTTAAACACATTGTTATTGGCGGTCGAGGCACTAACACAATCCTGAGTTTGTACAAAGTCACTGAAGCTAATAGAAGAATAGTAAATCAACTGTGATTGTTTGGTAGCTTGCTATTGGGTGTGTGTTCTCCTCTAATCTCACAGGTGGTTGTGCTGTAATTACATATTGGATAGAGAGAAAATTGGTTTGAGACACAGGTGAGATAAAAGCAGAAACACTTGTAAATTTATGACAGTCTCAGGTCACAAGTATGATTTTTTAAAAATTACTCTTGGTGGGCAAAGCACTGGTGAAGAGAGCACGGGAAGCATCCTGGTTGCCAGGATGGTAGAAAAGGCCACAGTTGCTCAGCCCATCTCCCACCTAACAATGAACAGAACCTCTGAGAAAGATGGGAAAAGCAATGCACAGAGAGGGGAGGTTAGTGTAGACGTCTTTATAGACAGGAAGAAAATATCTTGGTACAATCCATTTTATTTTATTCCCCTAGAAAACTAAGAGAGTTACAGGCTGAGTAGGGATGAAGCTACATTAGCTATGGTCTCAAGGAAAGCAGGCCCTCCCGCAAGGGCCCATTGGCACAGTTGGCATCTGGCACTTAAGAAGCCTGTCACACAGGCTGGCTTGCGGTCAATTATCTCCTTAAGTAATCTGGCATTAATCCAGCCAGGGAGGACAACTAGTTGCATTCACAGGAATCTGAGCCAGTTAACTGGAAGTGGCACTGCTAAATTTCAAGCATCTTTGCGCTGAAGGGTTGAAAAACTCATCAACAAGTTTCCTCCTGGGACACAAAGGTGATATTTGCCAACTTGGCAGTAGTACAGGAGCTACAGGAGAGCGAGGAAACAGAATGCCTTAGAAAATCATGGATCCTCAAAGCCATTGATTCTTCTTAAATTCCATTCATGGAACAGAGCTGCCAGTTCTGATGTGCACAAAATAATAGAGAGCAGAGAAGATCCTCCACACCTGAGAATTCTCATTCTTCACTGGGTCAGTTTAGGAGCATGCTCTCTCTGGCTTGGGTGACAGCTTTAGTGATAACCAGATTGTTGTGCTTGTAATTCTGCACCAGGTACAGGGGCAGGGTAAAGTTCACCTTGGAAGCGGGAAACTAAAGAAATAGCAATAAAAATCAGGGATAACTTCTTTGTGAAGAGTTTAAGGGCAGAGTGGGGATCCAAGTTCAGATGGCAAGTTCTTGAATTCTAGAGGGCAAAACCGTTTCAAGTTCAACATTCCCATATTGCTCATTCAAAGTATTTCCATTAATATTATCTTTCCAAGTTCAAGTGCTACCTCATGCCCTTTGGGGGAGATTGAAGTGTTCTGCTGAGTTTTGAATTCAATCTCAAACCATTGTTTAAATGGCACGAGTTTGGCAAAACTCCAGATACACTCTGTCCTAAGCACTTTTCCCCTTTAACTATCCCCTGTGTGTTTTAAGGAAAATTCAAGCCACATGTTGCTCTTTCCTCCTTCCATCCAAATATAATTTTACTGAATTTTAGCATGGCCATGAAATTCAAATTCTGTATTTTAGTTCACAGTATGTTTATATGATCTACACAAGTCACATGGTATGTGCATATATCATTAAGCAGAAAATAAATCTTTAGTTGTAGTTTTATAGTGAGAGTTTGTTAAAGAGCCATGCAGAAGATGCTATATCAAAAGACGTTTTATAAAATTGTCAAAAAATTTAAAAAACATGAACAATGACTCATGAAAATATTTAAATAATATTGCCAAGAAGATATTCTGGCCATTTTTAATTTGATCCAAATAGTTCTTTCCTGCCATGAGTAAAAGGCTTTTGTGCACATGGGACAACCAGGCTGTGCTAGTAAGTTACAGAACTCCTTACCAAGACATCATTTTTACCATGCGTTAGAATGTGTTTTCCCATCTGAGTCTCTGCCAGTCTTGTCA